ATATTTAATACAGCATTCTTAATGAAATTCGGTTCAGTCATGGGTCGGGTTGGGATCGGGTTGGGCTCTTCTTCTCCGACTAGTCACTACTAAACGACGACTAGGCCTCGCCTTTCTCGGCCGGACGATTAGGCCACCCTAATCGCTAGGCGCCCAGTTTTTCCCCTTCCCCAAACCGCCTGGACAACTAGTCCACGACTAGTCGATGCCTAGGCAACGACCTAACAACAATGGGTTTGAGAGAGGATTTGAGGTCGGAGGTCAGAATCCACAAACCCAAATCTGTGTTCAGGGCTTCTAGTCTAGCCCTTGAGTTTGAGAAACGGAATACACCTCTGCATTTCCAGACAAGTTCTATGGGATCGGGTCGGGGTGCATGTTCAGATTCTACCATTGACCCAAACTGAGAAGGAAAAAACTTGACCCAATCTCCCCAGCCACTTGCATTCTCAGGATCTTCAGGCTCAACACCAACCTTGCCAGTTTCGAGATTTAGTAGGGACGAGTCAATGAAGCAGCAACGCAGGGATAAGGGACTTTGCTATCGGTGTGGCAATCCCTTTAGGCCGGGTCACCGTTGTTCGACTTCATCCACTACCTTCTCCTTGATGGAAGTTGATGAGGAAGGTAATCCGATGAATCTTAAACATGTTCCCATTGATGGGGAGGTAAAAGAGGAGGAAGTGTATTTAATGTGATTCTGGGGACGCCAACGTCCGCCACAATGAAATTAAGTGGAAAATTACATGGGCATGAAGTTTTCTTGTTAATTTATAGCGGATCGACACACAACTTCATCTCTGAAAAACTTGTGCAACAACTTAGGCTACATGTTTCCTCTATTCATACATTTGGGGTACAGATAGGAGACGGTTTTATTATTCAGTGTGATCAGATTTGCGAATCCGTCTCAGTTAAGCTTCCAGGTTTGACTCTTACACAAGATTTTCACCCATTTCCACTAGTTGGATCTGATATGGTTCTTGGAATCAAATGGTTAGCCTCTTTGAATACCATTCAAGCAAACTGGAATGAAATGTTTCTGCTTTTTAGGGTTGATGGGAAGCGATATAAATTACATGGCATCTCGAAAGTTGATCAAAGCATTAGATTAAATTCAATGGTGTCTCTTAAGTTGCAGTTAGGAGTAGAGGAAGAATCTCCTATGAATCTGAACGAGTTAATACAACACCAACATTCAGACTTCCACCTTGAGGACAAGGTGTCTTTCAGAGAGGGGAGTAATGATAGGATCCGGATCACTGATAGCAGAAGGCCACCTTAATTATATTATTATGTGTGGGTTAATTGAGTTTGTTACTGTTTTATATTTATTAAATAAAAGGACTCTCAGGTTATTAGGAGTCCTGAGGCCTTAAGAGTTAGGAAAGCTTAGTTAGTTAGAACTTATCACTTTGTTGTTTGATCTTATCAGATCAGTTTGTTATTTTTTATCTTATTAGTTTGTTAGAGTTGTTATAAATATCCCAGCTTCTCTATTGCTAAGATATCCAAAAAATAAAACATTAATCACATTGAGATTCTCTTGGCTTCTATTCATTTTTCATCAGTGAGATCCTTATTGAGAGAAGGGAGGGAGAGTTCTGTTTAGTCTTAATTTAGATCCTGAATTAATTCTAGTAGGTTTCAATCAGCCTATCTTCTTTCACTATTATTGAGTATTACCGAGGACTATTTTTCTTTTTTCTTTTTTAAAATTTATCAGATTTTGCCCTAAGGGGCCAGTTTTAAAATAATAGAATTTCTCTATTTATTATTATGCAAAGAACTCTAGGAAAGAACATGTTTAATGAGGACAAGTCTCCCCTTGGATTCGGTGTTTTGTTGTACCAAGTATTAAAGTATTTATCAAAGTGTTGGATCAGTGCCTCACAGTCTGTTCTCTCAAGTCTTTAGTGATAGTGTCTCCAAGGTATTTAAACCGTGATGAGCAGTGTTGCATTCCCAAGATGTCTGCCATCTTATCCAGCTTGTTCCGGTTAATATTTTTGCTGCAAAAGAATTTACTTTTACTGACCTTGATGTTCTGACCACTAGCTTTGAGGTAGGATCCCAAGACACCTTTCAATATGATCAGATTCCTCAGCTTACCACTGGTAAAAATGATTATATCTGCAAAGGTGAGGTGAGCAGTAGGGCACAATCTCCCCAGCTTGTAACTTTTCAGGAAGCCTTCTTCTGTCTTAGCATTGATGAATCTGGAGAGCCCTTCTGCACTGATAATGAAGAGTAGTGGGGAGAGGGGATCCCCTTGTTTTACTCTTCCCATCTTGAAGAGACCAGAGGGTTGACCATTGACAACAAATGAAATATGAGTATTTTCAAGGTTAGCCATAAGTAAATTGAGTGTTTTACTGCAGAATTCAAACTTGGATAGCACTGCTCTAAGATAAGACCAAGAAACTATGTCAAAAGCTTTTTCCATATCAAGTTAAATAATGGCATTTCCCCCCTCAGCAGTTATAACCAGATTGTGCAACATCTCACTGGTAAGTAGAATTTGATCATCAGCTCCTTTTCCTTTTTGAAAGCCAGCTTGGTTAGAGCTAATCAGTTTAGGCAGTAAGCTACCACGCCTTGTTGCCAGGATCCTAGTCTTGACCTTGCTCATGAAGGTGGAGAGGCTTACAGGTCTATAGTCTCCAAAGGTAGTTGCAGCATCTTTCTCAGGTATCAGAGAGATATAGGGTGCTTCCATAAGCCAGAGGTGTCCCAAGAAGAATTCTTGGCCTGCTTCCCAAACATCTTCTCCAATAATCTCCCAACATCCTCTGTAGAATCCCCCATTGTACCCATCTGGGCCACTAGCACTAGTAGGATTAAGGATCCAAACGGCTGCTTTGACTTAATCTTTGGAGGGTGGGGAAGTCATCATGTTGTCCTCATCAGAGATGGTATGGGGAATGTAATGCAGGATATCACTGGGGTCATCGTTGTCAACTTTAGAAATTAGAATATAGTTTTTGGAAATGATTACATGCTAGCCCTGGGATATCTTGTTGTTTATTTAAGGTTCTCCCAAGGTGGTCTTTAATTGTGCTAATGTGCAGCTTTCTTCTCCTCCCATTACCAAAGGAGATCCCTCATCAACAACCTCATTAATTAATTCATTATCCCCTTGTTTGGGGTCTTCTTGTTTGTCCATAAGCACCTCAGTGACTCCCGGGTCCACTACCGTCACAAGGGAATTTTCTTCAATAAAATTTGGGTGATTGATAGGTAGAGGAATAACATATTGGGAACAATAGTTGGCAGATCTTCCTCTTCAACCAACAAGGTGGAAGCATGCTCTTTCTCCAAGGATAAGACCTCAACATTTACATGTTCCTCCATGTGAATATTTTGGTTTAGCATGGTTGTAGCATTAGCCTCACCAGATAGTTGTGGATCCTTACTGACATATTTTTGAGTAAATTTGCCTTTGTTAATCTCCTTAGGAATGGGGCCCAGCTTAGGTTAATCTTTTTTGACTGCCTGAGATTCCTTTTCCGGCTTCTCATTCCAGTGACACTCTCCGGTCTTGTGACCAAAGATGCGGCAGTTGGTGCAGTAGGAAGGAACAGCCTCATAGCTCATAAATTGAAACAAAGGAACACCACCACTGTCAATGTGAATCTTCTTGTGGAGAGGTTTGGAGTTTGGACATGTCCAGCTCTACACAAATTCTAGCCACCGAGGATCTGCCCATTTTAGCTGTTGCAACATCAAGCTTGAGTGGCTTACCGAGCATGGATAGTCGGATATGATGGAGAACAGAGTCTTTTGGTCATGAAGGTGGAGAGGGAGACCTTCTAACCACACCCAAACTGGAACAAGAGGGTTTTCAAATCTGAGATCAAAATAGGGGATCCACTTCGTGGTAGTCTTAGAACCATGAATTCCCAAACACGCTAGTGTAAGCATCTTCTATAATCATCCTCTCTAGTGAAGTTGATTACTATGTGAGCCTTCTCCAGCAACCCAACAGAGATATCGCAGAACCATAAAACAATTAGGGTTTTGCAAATGGTTTCCAAGGAAGGTCTTCTGGCCAGAAAGTAGCCCACCACTGTGGGCCAGTTTTCTAGAGAGTTGAACAACCTCAGTTGGGAAAAAGGAGATTGAAGGCATACCTATATAATGCACCAAGCACTGGCTGCAATGGAGCACCACCCTAAACAGCATCAGCAAAGGTTTTGGAAGAAAAGGATGAATTGGTAGCAGGGACGGCCACTGCCGTCCCATCGGAAGACGAGCACATCCAAAGAGTTCCGATCAGCTAGATAGAGAACGTGTTTATATGTGTGTGTGTGTGTGAAAATTGTCCACTATTTGCACAGGGTTTAATATTCTTGCGATTGTGGTTAGTTATTTAATTTTTCTCAACGTAGGGCTCTACCACTCCCAAATTAACTTATCATCAAGGACATGAGAATAGTTTACAACAACTAACCCAGGAAAATCCCAATTATGTTGGAGTCTAGGAGGCCAAGATATACGCACCTCCTCTGTAAATACAGAGAGGTTGTTTACGTCAGACCCTTGATGAATTAGAAATCATCCTAAATAGGACTAAAACATAGAGAAAAGTACCAAAATAAGACTTTCATATTTTTTTCCTGGAATAGGACTTTGCACTGTGGTAATGTGACTTTGTATTGTGGTAATGTGGCAGTATACATGTGCAAAGTACTATACTTTTTTGGTAATGTATATGACCATGTTTGGTAATGTAAGTCCTATTTCGGGAATAAAATCATGGAAGTCCTATTTTGGTATATTTTCAATGTTTTAGTTCTAGTTTGATCTTTCTCCCTTGATGAATTGCTGCATTTGATAACCAGACATCATAGAAATTAAGAAGAAAGGGGAGTTTAATGTGTCATTTTGATTTAGTCCATCATTTGCCCGAAGCTAAAACATTGTCACTAATGACTCAGTTTAGCTCCATTAGTAATGGACGAACATGAGAATAGTATAGATGTATGTAATATGTTTACCTATGGTGACAAGGAATGGCAAAAAAAGGAAGTGTGGGAGTCGCCTGGCAGATGGGGCATACGGTTTCATCAGTTGCAGAATTCGAAGACTTGTCCTTTGAGAATGGGCAAAGAATGTTTTTGATGGATGATGAATTTAAGAGGGGAAGAAGCAACAACAGCATTTCCTGTGAATAAAAGACAATACTGATAAAATGATAGTCCCATCACAAACTAATACTTCCACCACGATGTGTTTGTGATGCAATATTAGATAAAAATTCATTACTATCCATCGCTGTAACGGAGGACTTCCCTTTTAAGAGCAAGTCATCTGTTCCATTGAGGAAATTTAAAATTCTACTAGTTCAAGCAATCCACTTGTAAAAGCCAGATCGGAAGGACAATTACCGATAATTCATGCCAAACCAATTGATGATTCATGTACTCAAAGCTTACAACTCGATTCATGTTGGGGCTTCCATAGACAAGCCTTGCTCTTAAAGCTCTCTCAGTAAGACTCTTATAACTGCATAATGTTGATGATAATATGCGAATGAAAACTAAAAATATATAATACTGTCATGTTGTGTATACATTCAAAGGCACTTTCTTGTCAAATACTAAAGTCAATTGTACATAGATACAATTCATGAATGAACTCCTACGTCATAGTTTATAACAACTATAACCCAGTTGGATCCCAGTTGGATCCCACAGGAGTAGGGTGTGGGGAGGCATGATGCAACATTACCCCTACTTGAAAGTAGAGAGGTTGTTTCCAAGAGATCCCCAGCACTCCATAGTCTATAAAAAGAAGAAAATTGTAGAAGTTGAAAGTCCAGATCAGGTGTACCCCTAGCACTGACACTTATGAGCATTCATTCATTTAATTTACTCTTTATAAAGAAAAGCTACATTTTATAATGTAAATTACAACAAAAAAAATTCAAGGCAACCTGATCCAATCAAAAGAAGTAAATGGCCAAACCATTGCATTTGAGTTGCTTACCTTCCAGTGTGGAGGAATAGAAGGAGATTGCTGAAAGATGCTGCCTTATAAATTCCTTCTACCCGTTGTATTAACAACCATAGCCAACTTGCTATAGATCTCTACAAAAGTAAGAATAAAGAAAAATTGGTAGAGCAGAAATAAAATTAAAGCATCAGTTTCATTATCACATCCATATAAGACACTAAGAAATACAATTAAAGCTTCACCATGTCAACTAAACCACTCCACTCAACTGGATACAAAAACAATAATACCCACGGTAATCTCAACTGTGTTGTGCTGCATTTACTACGCAAAACTTTATTTAAAAATAAAAAAGTGAAATGCAAAGGAAGTTAAATGTGTCATTCTCAAAAAGCCCATTACTTGCCCAAAGCTATACCATCATCAATAATGAGACTTTTGCTAGTAATGGACATCACGAAGTGATCTCAAAATTACGTGACCCAAGAGCTTTACTGCTTGTCCATAATACCAAAGGGCTTCTGGGATATGGAGAATATGGGACTGAAATGGGATATTTTGTTCTTAGCATCTCGCGAGCGAAGAAGAAAGTGGCAAGAAAGAATAGAGTCAAAAGGGCGAAGGACTCAAAGATTGGGGGGGGGGGGGTTAAAGGGAATCAAGATTCAAGATTTTCAAAATTTCATATTTGCCACTACTACGTTTTTTCGCTTATTTTATTTATGTTATTTTTGTATCTTTCATGTAATAAGATTAGGAAAGTAGCATTTTTTCCTAAATCTTGAGTATTAGATTTCTTAATCGTAGTAGCATTACTTAGTCATAATAATAGTAGTATAATTAGTTTTCCAATTTCTACTCTTATACAGCCAAGCCTTTAGTAGTATTAGCTAGACATAATAGAAGTAGGATTAGCATTCTTACTTGAAGCGCAATACAACATAATAAGGGTATAATTACTTCTTCTATTTCCCTACTTCCGAGTAGGGGCAAGGTCTGCGTACACACACCCTCCCCAGACCCTACTATTGTGGGATCCAACTGGGTTGTTGTTGTTGTTTACTTCTTCTATTTCTACTATTTGCGTTTTTCTTTCTTTTAGCCTTAGGTTGCTCCTTTTTTCTTTTTTTTTCTTTTATGCTCTGCACTTGTTTCTTTTTTTCTTTTATGCTCTGCACTTTCTATGTTACTTGGGCTGGGAATTTCTTAGAAACACTCCTACTCTCATGTGATTCTACAAGGCTCTTGTTGTTGATTTTTGAATAAGAAAAATTCAAGATGTATTTCTTCAAACCCTTAGGGTCCGTTTGGTACATGGAATTGATGAAATTGGAATTAAAATTCCATGGCATTCAATTCCATAGAATTGAATTCACCAATTCCAATTCATTTTTTACACTACCAATTCCAAATCCACATAATTTTTGTGCTACCAAACACGAGAATTGGAATTGAAGTCTTCAATTCCAATTCCATAGTTTGAATTCCGTGTACCAAACGTGGCCTTAAAGTTTTTTATCAATCATTGGTGGATTATTCCTTCAAAAGTTTGTGGTGTTACTCTTGGATTCTTATACAAGTTTCTAAGTGGAAATAAAACTTGTTATAGCCTCGTTCTTTTTCTTGTTATTGGAGTTTCAACCATATTCAACCTTTGCTTCCACATTCGCATCAAGTGGTATCAAAAGCATTCTTGGTGATTTCTTAATAAGCAACATGTCATGACAAAGAAGTAACTTGCTATATTTTTTAATATTAAAAGAGGAAAAATATCTCAAACAAAAGAAAAAACATGGGAGAGGAAGGATTCAAGCAACAATTTTGAGGAGACCCTTGAAGGGCTTGGGTGGCAAATATGGGGCCCGTTTTGACCGTGCATGTATGATTTCACTACCATGATCCAAAATTGGCAGATGGAAGGAAAAGTAAAAGAGAGGAATATGGAGCCAAAGGAAAGATATGCCTTCAAAAGAGGGGTGGACCCACGTTTAGTCTTACGGGGTCCCATGAACCCATGAGCGGTTTCGTGCATACATACATACATACATACATACATACATACATACACCTACATACATACACCTACATACATACACCTACATACACACCTACATACATACATACATACATACATACATACATACATACATACATACATACATACATACATACATACATACATACATATGTATATACATATACATACATATATATATATACATATATACATATGTATGTGTGTGTGTGTATATATATATATATATGTGTGTGTGTGTCTATGTATGTATATATATATATATATACACATTCATATATATATATATATATATATATATATGTATGTATATACATATATAAATGTATATATATATATATCTATGTATGTGTGTGTGTGTGTGTGTGTGTGTGTGTATATCGGTAGTTCTTTTTTTCTTTCAATTTTTTGACTCATCCTCGGCCCTCGGCGCCACAAGTCTTCAACAATTCAAGATTCAAATCACACCGCCGAAGTAGGCCAGCTGCTACGCATCGCAAGCCCACAATGCCAATAAATGCCAATTTGGACAGATCAAAAAACTCTTCAATCTTCTAGCGTCAGATTCTTTTATAATTAAACAATTTGTTTTCTATAGTTTGACTGAGTATAATTTTTAATTTGTGATTGTTGGAGTTATTAATTGTTCATTTTTTGTTAGATTTAAAAATTACTACCTCTGCCCCAGTAGTATTAGCTAGACAAAATAGTAGGATTAGCATTCATACTTCAGGTCCAGCTCAGCCAAAGGCTTTATATAAGCATATGACCAATATGCTTTTTTTATTGATTGTTGATTCTCGAATAAAAAAACTGAAGAGTTTCTTCAAACCCTTAGTTCTTTATCAATCTTTGTAAATTATTCCTTTAGAAAATTGTGGTGTTACTGATCCTTTTGTCCTTTATAGAACTTGATAAATCTTTGCTAATCTTCATTTGTTTTCTTGTTCTAGATTTTATACATATTCAACCTTAATTTCAAGATCTCATTTTTATTTGTGTTTTAAGCTTTTGCATTTGCATCATCAAGTCATATGCAACATCAAAAAACTAAAAAACACTAAATAAAATGCAGATTGCAGCTTCCTTTGAAAAACCAAAACAAAAGGTTTCTAAAAAACATCAACAACAAAACCACTAAAAATTCTACAAAACATGGTCTAGGGAGGGTGTGTGTAAACAAAATTTACTCCAACTTAGAAAGTATAGAGGTCTTTTCCAAGAGACTTGAGCTCAAAGAGAGAAGAGCATAACGACAAAGGAAAATAGCAAGTAACTAAGTAAGAACACATACAAAAACAAACAGAGATGCAAAAATTGCAAATGTAGGCACAAAAACACACAAGCAAATGCTACAAATTAAGGTCCAAAAGACTACCTACCACCCCAATCCCAAACCTCTACACGATCATATCTAAGGTTATATGCTCCGTAAGATCTTGAAATCGTAAAATCTGTCTAATCACCCCTTCCAACTCTTCTTAAGTCTATGTCTACCCATTCGTATGCCCCCTGCCTCAAGCTTATTGCACATCCTCACTGGCAATCTGGCATCCTTACTTCTCCTTGTCATGTGTCCAAACCATCTCAGTTTAGCTCCCCACGGCTTAACATGCACAGAGGCTTTGAAAAAATCACAAAATATCACAGGACTAAAATCACTTTTGTTGATATTCTTGGCATGAGGCTACAGAAGTTTATTGCAACTATGGTATGTTTTACCGAATGGTTTTAATCCATGAACATTATATTTCATTTTTCAAATCCACGCGTAGGGCATGTTTCTGCATCTACTGTAACTTTGCAAATCAAGACTTTAGATAGTCCGAGTCCATGGTTGAACTTATTATACATATTATCCTTTTGATAGTCAATGGCATGTTTCAGCATGCATAGTTACTTTGCAAATCAAGGCTTTAGATAGTCGCATAGTTGTGAAAAGTGCGCCTGAGGCGCGATGCGCACGAGGCATAGGGTTCTGCGCATCTGACAGTGTTATGCAGGCAACAAGAGGCGCGCGCATAACTGCGCATCATTGCATTTTTCGATGCATGCGCTATAAGGCGCGCATCGCGAACGCAGAGTTTTTTATTTTATTACATTAAGACTAGGGTTGACTACTTAACTCACTTTTCACCGTTCAACTTTGCGTCTCTCTCCTTCCGCATCTTGGACTTCGGCGACTTGCGAGTCTTCCACCCTTTAACGATTGTGTTTCTTCTCTTTCAGGTTAGTCGCTTGACTTGCTTCTTACTTTTCATTTTTTTTTCTCATTTTTAAATCGATCTCAGTTTTTTTAATTGTTGGGGCTTCTCTTTTTTCTTCTCCTGGCACTACTGCACTAGTAGCTTCTCAGATTTTCTTTTTGTTTCTTTAGCCTGTTTCAGTTTTTTAAATCGCTAGACTTCCATGTTTTTTCATGCAGTTCTGTGCTTTTGTTTCATCCATAAAGGAGGTATTTATTGTGTGAAAGAACATGTTTTTTTTGCAAGTAGCTATTTTTGTTCTTGAATTTTTAGTATTTTTATTTGTCAATGTACAATGTGTGACATTGATTCTTGGCTACTTTCTAAAATTTTATTAGGTCTTTCGAAATTGTATAAGAAATGTTTCTAATTTAGAGATGCTATACATTTTATAGGAATTGTTGGTAATTTAGAGGTTTTATGCTCCTTATGTTTCAATTTGCGCCTCATGTTCGTGATGCGCGCGCATTATTTGCGCATCGCGCATCGAGGCGTTAGGGACCCTTTGTGCATCAGTGCACATCGCGCCTTAAACAACTATGGATAGTCGAATAGTCAATGGTTGAATCCATTATACATAATAAATTTGAAAGCAGCAAACATTTAGTGAAAATGAATATACCTGCTCAGAATCACCCCATCTTCGAAAAGCAGAAAAAGATTGTAACCTGGCCCAGAAATATTGTCCACCAACAGTTGCAATACAGTAGCAGATCTTTTGTGCAACAGTAAGTCCAGGTCCCTCCAATCCAGTTCGGACTAAATGATAAATAAGGGAAGACATGTAAATTAGTATATCAACATTACTACACCATTTGGGATTGGTGTCAAAAATAGCTAAATTTGTCCTAAGACTCCTAACACAATACCAAGCAAATTATAGTTTTGTCCAAAACTGTATCTGAATCACCAAAAGCCATGGTAAAGCAAGAGTTAGTCCATGATGTCTTTTGCATTTCTGGATTTGCATTTAAAGTATAAAAAAAATCCTTTTAGGCCATTTAGATTTTGTAGAGCACTTTTAGACCTCAATGTCACCCACTTATAACTAGATAGGCAAAAGGGTCATATGGGTCATGCACAGGTTGGGTGTACTCGGGGTTGGGTGAAATTTAGGTCAACAGGTTCTGGTTGGGTTAAATATGGTTGGTTCAAATTCAGTCAATGCACTTCAGTTTGGGTTGCGTCAAGTTTGGGTGAAGCTTAGTCAAGTTGGTTCGAGTGCGGGTCAAATCAAGTTTGGGTAGGTTTGGATTAACACTTCAGGCCACGTCGATTTGAATGTGTTTTTAGGTCATTTTTGGGATGTGAGATGTGACGAATCAGGTAAACTTTCAATTAGGTTATATTTTTAGTTGATTTAAAAATAAATTATAATTTTCCACGGTTTGATGATGTTCACTAAAGTTGATAAAGGCCTTGTTTGGGAATAGCATTTTCAAATGGCATTAGCGTTTTGGATTCAATTTTAATGGTGTAGATTAATTTTGAAAAAGCTACCGCTAAACATTGCTGTTAGATAGCCTTTTCAAAAGGCTAACGCTAAACACTAAAGTTGTTCACAAACACACCAACAAACAAGTTTAAAAAAATTTTTTAGTCTTATCATTACGATTCATGAACGTGTCGTTCTGTTTTATCCAAACTTATATTTTACTTTTAATTCAAAACACGAGTAAACTATAAACAACAACCCAGTTGAATCCCACGAGTAATGTCATATCGCTCATGTTCGTTGATATCTATTTGCTATTACATAGTCCATTGCATATTTTATACTCCCTCCGTCCATAAAATAACTTCTCGGTTTGACCGGGTACGCAAATTTATGCAAGCTAAAAATGGCATTGACTTCTCCAAAATACCCTTCCCCCATCCCTCAATCAACGACACAACAACAGTAATTCTTTTCGTCCTCCATCAAAAATACAGAACAAAGCTGCGAATTTATCGATCATCCTCAACAACAAATGAATCGCCTCACTCATATTCATCCTCCTCCGTAAATGACTAAACAACCATGACGGTAATTTTACATTTTCTGTTCCTCCGTAAATAACAAAGCAACCATGACAGTCCTTAAACATTTTTTGTTTATCTCCAGTCCCAAATTCAGCCCATCGGTGATGACTCTCACTGAGTCATTGTTGTAAATCTGAAGGAGGTAAAGCCAATGTTGTTTAGATTCAATGGAGATCTAGTAAAGATGAATTTGGGGTTGTTCAGATCTAACATGGATGAGACGCGATCAATCAAATCCCAACGAAGATAGGACAGCTTTGTTCCGATTCGACAGAGGTGGTGTTGCTCCGGAAAGATCGGGCGAGATCTGGCACTCCTACTCTGGTGTAATACAAGGTGGTGCAGTGGGGACATGAAAGAAGGTTTATAGATGGCGGAGGTGAGAGATAAAGGCAAAAGAGGAGAAAGAATGCGATGGAAAAATGATGGAGGAAGATAAAGGCGATGGAAAAACATGGAGGAAGAGGAAGAAAAAGAAAATGTTTGGGATGAGGATACTGGCGGAAGGGGACGAAAAAGAAAATGATAGGAAGGAGGAATATGACTTAGGAAGGGTAAAAGAGACATTTTGCTCTCTTTTTTTTTACCAAAAATAGAAACGGGAAGATAATTTATGGACATCCCAAAAAGGAAAATGGTTTTATGGACGGAGGGAGTAATTTCCTACATAAAAATAACAAAATTTCAAGGAGACTGCCAGAGTATTTAATAAAATTTTGGAAGACTTCTTAGGCTTGACTGGACATGGTCAATACTTACACCTGCTGATGGGTTTTAAATCGTACCAATCAAGAGTTTTTTTTCAATTATTATAAAGATTTTTTACTAAAGGTGACTTTTGGTAATAGGTTTTTACCTTTTCCTTGCATCTCAAAAGCACGCTCATCTCTATACCGCAAATTCATTAGAGCATTGCCGGGAGTAGGTTTATCAACCCAGATAGAAAACCACCAAATCAGAAACTCGAGGAAAGCATCAAGTTCTGGTTCATATTGAAACAACATTCCTGGCTAATGTCAAAGAAGTGGCAAAGTAATTAAAAACCTACCAAAGCATTCGTAAATTCCTTCTTAGTTTGTTTATAGAAATATTGAAACAACATTCCTGGCTAATGTCAAAGAAGTGGCAAAGTAATTAAAAACCTACATAAGCATTCTTAAATTCCTTCTTAGTTTGTTTATAGAAATAGTTCTTCATGCAACCAAATAATCAAGGGGAACCATATGATGGACAGTGTACCTTCATCAAAGAAAAGACTTTCACCAATTGCTCCTTTAACATGGCTGACATTTCAACATCTAGTCTCGCTGCATCAATCTGATTTACTCTCGATATTGCAATTGGAATAGTTGACTGCCAATCAAAACAAAGAAGAAATGAATTATCATTCATATCTAGGTGTTATATCCGGGCTTGGCCCTATCATACCCTCCCCCATGTCCCACACCCTCGCAAAAACCAAAGGACTTACGTTCAAACATTATGATTCATTTTAATGAGAATTCCAAGTCCTTCAACCCGAGAGGCCAAAATAACTTCGGACCTAAGGGTTCTGCCAACCAACTCCCACTCTGCCAAACCCCACCCTAAACATCCAAAACTCCTTTCCATTTAATTCCTTTCAAACATAAAGTTTTCCTACACTTATTTTAGCCCATGGCCGAAAATAAGGGTGTGTAAAATAAAACCTTTTGTTTGTTGTTATTTTCCTTCTTTTAAGCCTTTTATTCAACAAATAAAACCCTCCCTCTATTCCATTCACCCCCTGGCCAAAATACACTTCACAATCCCAACATAAACACCCACAAAGAGCCAAAACCCTAACCCACCACTAGCCACTCATTCCTGCCCATGTTCCCTTACAAATAACCCAAACCTATAAGTCCAAAACCACACATTATATCCCCCAT